AAATAAAAATATTTAGTTTATTAAATAGGTACCTATATCTATATATGTTAAAATCTGCATTTATTTACATTTTACATATTTAACTTTATAGGGTGTTTCCACTATGTATCCTCCCTAATCATACGATTCATATTATTTACTTTTATTTGTCACTTATCAGAGCTACTCATTGTACAAAGATTATGTTTAGATTGTAGATTTACTTCAATAAAARWATAGTATCTAAAATCTAACACACATTATTACATACACTATTGTTTGTTGGATAATTAATAAATATTAATATTAAGAACGCATTTTTCAAAATTCATCCCTACCAGGGTTAAAAGGGTAAAAATTTAAAAAAATGACAGTCGGAACCACTGAAGATATGAGTATGAGATTGTGTCGGTATAAGTTCATTTAATAATGCGAAAACCCCCTAAGGCGAGATTTTTCAAAATAATTCGACCCCTACAGAGGTTATATAGAAGAAGAAAAATTATCCTTTTGATCGGTTTAATCTCGAGCACTATTTGACTGATTTCAAAATTTTTTAYCATCAGAAAGCCGCACAATCCCATCTCCATGAATCTATCCCATAAGATTTTTTATAGAAATAATAATAATATTAAATGTATTTTTGTGTATATTATATGGTGGCTAGTGGCAGTGGCGTGACGAAGGACTATATTTGAGGCACGTGCCTCAGTTTGAGGGGTGATGGGTGTCCTCAAAGATCATCTGATGTGTTAAAAAAAGCATTATTATTTAAATGAATAAATATATTTTATCTTAAAAAATTTTTTTAATGTTTTTATTGTGATGGGMGGGGTGGGTGGTGGGTCTGGCAATATAACTGTGCCTCATAACTTAATACAGTTCGCCACGCCACTGGCTAGTAGTTATACAATTTAGTATGGATGAAATGTATGAATAAGAAATTAACAATTTGCTATTAGGTACCAATTTTAAAAATTGTTTCACCTTTATAAAACTAAAAATGCGATAAAATATTATGATTGATTATAATTTTAGTCCTATATTAAAAATGACTGTGTTAAAAATATTTTATGGACATTAAGATAGGGTAAATCCACGGGAGTTATAGCCATCGCGGTAAGTTTTGATCATGACTCTTGCCGGGTATGAACGACGAATTAACCAGACGTTTTGAATCATGTAGAGTGGGTATTTTTAACGGGCAATGAAGTGCACGGGGATCAGCTGGTATAATATTAATATAGATTAATAGATACCTATAGCTTATAGGTACTTAGGTAAATGCATTATAATTACCTAATTGATTAATTGTTTTTTTTTAAACTGATACACATTTTTATTCAGATCATCATCATGCATGTCTTGGGTAATACGTCAATACGTCGTCGTCGTGCATTCTTATATTCAATCATTTTTCCTCAAGGAAGACTATTTATTAATAAAAAAATCAACTCATCCATCCAGACCATCCATAATATAAAATGCGAGTATTGCACTAAGTATTAAAACTGCTTAACTTTTGAACGGAGCGCATTCTAGTGGATACGTTAAATTCCAACTAAATTATAATTTTCGCATTGGCCGTCGCCTGAATTCAGCGTCGTCCTTCCTCTGATGTGCATGGATTATACTTATCAGAATGTGATAAATACCAAACCTTTATAATAATATATAGTATATACGTGGACGCCGGACGGAGGGAGCTGCTACTGCCAGTTGCCACAGAATAAACTACTGCTATCATCAAAAGATATGTTTATCAATGAATCTGAGATATAATCTTAGAATGAAATCAATAAATCATAGTAAAATGGAATTTTATTATTTAGACGTTCTTAAAATAATTAATCTTCTACTTCATTCAATAGTTTTAACGAAATGCTCTGTTGAGAACTTTGAAATTATTAGAGGCATCCCAATAGGAAGTAAGTTTAGCCTGTTTAGGTAGGTATTCTACACAATTTTGAATGTATCTTAATTGGGCAAATAGTTTGATAATAAATCAATTACTAAATGTATTAATAAACCATAAACGTGACATACAAGTAATTTATGTGTTACAAAATTTTCGACAGCTAGGCATTATAATTTATAGTAACCTTTATTTGGTTGTCCTTGTTTTCTTAGAAAAAAAAGATCCTTTTATTATTCACTGTTTTAATAAATATTTAATACCTATTATATCTGCACAGTTATGGATAATGCATTTTGTTACTTTTTATTATTATAATTAATTATGTCTTCATATGCGTTTGTTTATTGTTTTTACAATGCTGCAATACAAATATTACAAATAATGTAAGATAAAGAAAATTATATAATCTTAATTTGTTGTCTGGTTGGTGTTTAATGTCTCCTAGGATGAATATTTTTTGTCGGTGTGATTCTGGGTTTAGAAGTATTAAGTATTAAGTATTAAGTATTAAGTCAAATATTCAGTTAACTACTCAGATATATATATATATTATATATAAAAAGTTAAATGTAATACATATTCAATTGTAAGTAACTAATTAATATTATTGTAAATCATAAAACTTGTTCTTGTCTAAGTATAATGAGTAGGTACCTATAAGTCAAGTATTAATTATAAGTAAAATTAATATTATTTTTTTGTCTAAACTAATTTTTGTTTTAAAATAAAAAAATTAATATCTGTAATAGGTAAGTAATTGGGAAAATTAAAATATAATAAATATAAATTTATTTCGTTATCATAAATATTAATATACAATATATATTCATAATTTTTCATGACCATGTTGGCATTGTGTTGTAGATGCTAAACTATATCCCCATGGCAAGGACTTCTCTTGTTTGGATGGCACTTTAACTATTCCTTATTCATATATTAATGATGATTATTGTGATTGCATTGATGCAAGCGACGAGCCAGGTACCTCAGCATGTCCAAATGGCACATTTTACTGTACAAATAAAGGACATTTTCCTCTTGTTGTGCCGTCATCACGTGTAAATGATGGAATTTGTGGTACCTATAATATTCTACTATACTTTTTGCAAAATATAATCTCATTGATTTTAATTCCGACTAATTTTAATTCTTTAGAAATATACCTAAAATATTAACTTGATAAAAATGTACATTATTTTTATAATAATGCAAAATAATGGTTTTATTAAGGCTTAAATTGTTTTTTATAGGTCTATTAATATTTAATAAATCATAAATACCTACCTAAAAAAATAATTAGCATTAATGTTTTACACTCTCATTCTTGAAAATGTAATTTAAAAATAATAAAATGTTACCTAATTACTATTTATTATTTAAATTAAACTAAACAATCATTAAGCATTTATGAGCTTTTAATCTTTAAAAATGTGTGTAGTATATTATATACTATTAAAAATTAACTTTTAGAAGTTGTTTAATCCGATAATGTAATAATATCTAACACAAGGGTAGGCAATTATCAAAAGGCAATTACAATCTAAGTATAATTATTATTTAAATTCAAGCAAATATAATTATTTACTTTTTATTTGAATTTTTTAATCTTATTTATTGTAGCACTTATTAAGTACCTATCAATCAAGATTAGTTAATTGTTACATTTTAAACAGATTGTTGTGATGGGTCTGATGAATGGGCTAATAATGTTCAAAAAAATGCTTGTCAGAACACATGTGAAAGTCATAGCTACGAAGCTAGAATTGAAGCGAATAGAGTAGATAATTTATATGCTCAAGGATTTAAAATAAGAGCACAACTCATTACTAAAGGCAAATATCTTTTATCACAGAAACAGGTAAGGCATTTTTAAGTTCATTATACACACGTTGAAATGAATATAAGCTTCCTTTACTCTTGCAGTTCTAGTCATCTCCATTTTAATAATAAAAAGATATTACCGTACTAAAATAAAAACTTGTAGGTATGTTAGGTTTGTTTCTAATAAAGTTATAATATATGTTACCAACCTATCAAAATACCAAATAACATCCCTATTGTTATTTAAAAATTATGTACAATAAGTTTTAATATTTAATCTGTTACATTTACTACAATTTTGTTTGGTATTATAATTAATAAGAACTGGAATAAAGCTGAATAAGTCACCAAAAACAGAACAAAATGAGTGCCTACCTATTATAAGCCTTAATCAAAATTAAATGTTGAACAAACAAAAACTATCCCATTTAAAAGTTTAAAACACAATATATAGTCCTTTTCTTGCCCCTATTATCTAAACAAAAAAAACCTTATAAATTATTAGTTACATGTTGATATGGGTACCTATAAACGATAATTATTTAAGTATACATATAACCTAGCAACAGATTTTTAATTTTTAATTTATCGCCTTATGAAAAACTTTTATGCTACATCATGAACAAATGTGATTGTGAAAATCAAAATTGTAATCATAAAAATGTTTATGTACAACCACCAAGAGTTAAATCTTATGCAAAACATGGAACTTATATTCGTTCAGATATTCCTATGCAGTATAAAACCGAACAAAAATTATCTTATAAAAGCTATCCTATTAATGATTTTATAAAGATTAATTCATCTTCAAAAAGTAACTGCTTTGGAGATAATTTAAAGTATGGTTTTCAATATCCATCAGAGACTATTCAACAATCCAGTTACAAAAAATGGAGAGTTTCAGATGAGTTGAATATTAAAAAACCAAAAGACTGTCGTGATTTAATTGGACATGGTCTTATTAGCTTAAATACTACTCAAAAATTTGACTTTCAAAGAAAAAACATTACTCCACAAAGTAAAAATTTCATTATTTAATGATAATTTACTTTAAAAATAAACTGGAATATTACAATTTAAATAGGTAAACACTATGAACAACCRTGTAGTGTTTTTAAGTTAAATATTCCAACTGAAATTCAATCCACAATTTATCAAACATCTTATAAGGATTCTAAATTAGAAAGAAGGAATGCTGAAATTTTCAAACCTAAAAGTACTTACATTAGCCCAACAAAAAAAATGGAAACCATGACAACAAATAATATAAATTATAAAAATTGGATCAGAAATCCAAATAATTCAAATATAAAGACCAGTGATAATTGTCAAACAAAAAAACCAATAAATCATCAAACTTCATACAATTATTATTACACTGAGCCAGGAACATATACTAAAGAAGTCACATTTTCATCAAATGATGATTTATGTATCAACGAGTGTTGCGATTAAAAATGGATTAATAAATGTGACTTTGTGAATTTCATTTTAATAATTGATAAGGGGCAAGGGCCAAAAGTATAGAATAGGTAAATATATAGAGGTTCTAATAAGATTTAATTATATAGCACTGATAAAACTAGACTGAAGCTTGTTAGAAAATTCATGAGTTAAGTTCATTAAATGGTCATCAATATAAACCATGTTGCCTTGATCATTAATCCTCTTGAAATCTGATGATGCCTGCCTAAAATAACCGTAACACTGGCATTTGTTGTCTCCATCTTATATGTGCGTTAACATAGCAAATTTACGTTCAGTAGCTTTGTTAGTTTAAAAATTAGAGCCAATCGAGCTATTATGAAACATGATGATAAGAACATTCTCTATATTTGTATGGGGTTCTTTTTTATTATTGTTCAATTTTATAGCAAGTTTTGTGTATATAATATAGCATAAATTCAAAATGCTCATAACTTGCTTAGAAACTGAATTATTGTAAAAAAAAACTGACATACAAACACAGAAAATGTTCTTACCATTAAGTTTCATAAGAGGTTATATTTTTAAATCAGTGAAGCTACACGTGATCTGCTGAGCACACATTTACTATGTTACGCGCTTGTAAGATGGAGAAAACAAATGCCAGTGTTAAGTCCTCTTGAGAAACCCTAATAGTTTAAACACCTTACGATACTATGGATTATTAGACAAAATATGTGAATAGCCATTAAGATCGTCAGCAGTTAGGTAAAATCTAGATTTTTTTTGAAAAAAGATTATAATTTAGAACTATTTATCAAATATTTGTGATTGAGTGATTATTTCATTAAAAAGTAACAAAAGAATCAAAATGGTAACTATTCTATCAAAGCTCTATACATACAAAACAACTAACAAGTGATTTATTAATATTTTCAATTTTGTTTTGTTCTTTAGAATAAGATTCTCCACCTCTTGACCAAAATAAAACAAGCTCAGTTAAATAGAAGCAGTATGTTTAGTAAAAAAGAAATGGCTAAAAACAAAGAAGAAAAAGCAATAGAGGAGGAAAAATCAAACCAACAAAATAAAGCAATTAAAATATTTAATGAAATTGATACTAATAAAAATAACAAGTATAATTATTTTAATACTCAAAGACTATGTGACTAAGATTGTGTATAAGAAAAATCACAATAACATTTTTTTATTTAGAATTGAAGTGAAAGAAGTAATTCCTTACAGTACTTTTGATCAAAACCAAGATGGCTTGGTTTCACAAGATGAAATTTATGTGAGTAAAATACATAGATTAAATTAATTTAACATATCAATTAACTTAAAATGTACCTTGTATTTTCTTAATTTAGTTGTTGAACAAAATGTTCTTTGCTTCATTTAAAATATTTATTACATTTATATATAGTACTTGATGGAAAACAAAAAGGAACTTGATCTAAAAGATTTTGTGTCAAATGGCTGGAATCGTGTAAACCTGTTAACTTTTACAAAATCTTTTGACAAAAACCAACATCTAACTAAAAAAAATGTTGAAAAAGAAATCCTAAATCAAGATTTTAATCGTAATTTCAAGAATGAAACTGAAAAATATAATATCGAAGATATCGAAGCTGTAAAAATTAATGAACTATTATACACTGAAAAAACCAAAATCATAATTGATGGTAATTTATTATATCTATATAGTCTTAAATAATTTTTCATATTATTAATCAATATAAAATCAGAAACAAAATGAATTTGAGAGTTATAAAGTGCACAATCCAAACAATTGCTTGGACATTGTTCAATGGCCACCATTACTCATTAGGGACACAATTTAAACAATATCTAGACTAAAACAGTTAAACATTGACAACAGTTAATTATTTTTGCCTGTAGAATATTTATTAAAATAACTAAGTAAATTATGAAAATGTAAGTATTTGTAATTCACGGCAACGATGTATAATCAAGATTAATAGTAATAGATAAAGTGTAGTCAGTATTGAGGTGTAGACTGTAGATCAAGCATATAAATCATTAAGTGTCAACTAGGCTAAAAATATAGAATCAAATATTACAGCCGCAATTATTTTATTTTTACTTAATTTTCCAATAGTCTTGATGGGATGGTCACAAGCCTGAAAAATGTAGCGGGCCTGCTATAGATGAATATTATGTAATTTCTATGATACATTTAGCTCAAATTTACTATAAACTGTTATTTCAGAATCAAAAAAGGCTCAAAAACAATTTGAAGAATCTGACAGAATAGTTAAAAATCTTCAGAAACAATTATATGAATTACAAAAATCAATTAGTAAAAATTTTGGTCCTGATGACGAATTTGCTGCTTTAGATGGACAATGCTATGAGCTAACTAATGATGAATACATTTATAAATTATGTCTATTTGAAAAGGTAATACAATGTATTTATTGAAATTTAAATTACATTTTCAGCAATGGTGTTAAATGGATGTTACCGATTTTATTTGTTATAGATAACTCAAAGGCCAATAAAGGGAGGACCTGAAATAAACTTGGGTATCTGGAAAGATTGGACAAACTTTATCAATAACAAACCTCAATATCATACTATGCTTTATGATAGAGGAAAATACTGTTTGAATCATTACCAAAGATTTGCTTATGTAAGTTCGTTTCACATGTTCAGTGCATGAAAATTAAAAATTCTATATTGTTTTATTTTGTACAAATATTAGTAACACATATTTGATATTACATCAATACATGCGATAATTTAGATAATTATAATAATATTGCTATTAGTATTAATGTCATATTGTCATTTAAACAACAGGTTCACTTAAATTGTGGCTTAAAACCTAAACTTATATCGGTGTCAGAGCTTAACCGATGTGAATACTTAATTGAATTTGAATTGCCCTCAGTATGTGTTATACAAGACACTAAATATTTGAAAGAACTTGAACGAGAAGAATTATAACCATCAATATATATACTTAAACCATTATTGTGCTAAAGTAATTTTTATTCCTCATCAATTAAAAATTTTCAAACATATTTATAAAATGATTTGCATGATATATGTATATTATATAGGTGTTATTTTTTTTTATAGTGATAGTACTAGATACTAAGATGCTATTGCATAAATTAATGCCATAATATAAAATATACTATACTATGTTACCCTTATTATTGATAAAATATAATTGTTTGTTAAATTATTTAAGTTAAGTAAATTCCATATTTTTAAAACTTGTTTTTTTTTTTTTTAATATTAACAATTTAAGAAAAAAAAATTAATAAATGAATAAATATGTAATATGTGTTTGATCTGATGTGTATTTTGTACAAAAACCTTCCAAAACAGAAAAAAACTCTTATGCCTTGAAATAAATGATTTGGGTCATTTTTTTTTTTTTTGAAATATGAAGACTATATAGGTACAGGTACAAATTCCATAAGAATCCATTAAAAAAATTTTTTTCAAAAAATGTTATATTTATTACTTAATATGTAATACTAAATACTTACTTTGGAGTATTTTAAAATCTTTTTTCCCAGCGTTATTTAAAAAGAAGGCTCATGCTAGGTACCCGAAAATGCTTAGCTTTCCTCTTTCAAAAAAAAATAACAAAAATCTGATTATTCTACAAGGCGTGATCGTTTTTCCTCCAGTAATTTTTTACTTTTTAGTCACTGAAATGTTTTAATTTTAAACCTGGCTTTAATTCTGCAATGTAACTAGAAATTTCTATAAGGACATAATCTGTGAAATATCGCTTATTTTTTTTTTATATCACTTATACAAAAAAGTTCTTGTTGTTTCAAAATCCATTATTTTTATGTTTTTCAAACTTGAATAACTTCTTTTTATAGTTCTGATATTGAAAAAATAACAATATTTTACAGCCAAAACTTTTATATTATGATGGAAACTGAGATTTAAGATTTAGATTTTTTAGTATGTCTATAGCATTCTTTGTTCTTTCCTGCTCAAAAATATTGCTACGTCTTATATCTGTTAGACAAATACGACATATGCGGGTATAGCGTACAATAAATAAATAAACCTWCAAAACTTTAATTTAAATTAAAAAGAAATACAGTTTTATTACATAACGCCTAGAAAAACTTATGAACACCATCAAGTTATATATTAATTTTAGACAGGTAGATATTTATTACCTATTGAATAATATGTAGTCTGGACTCTGAATGATATTTATGTACATAATTTTATTTCTAAATGTCAGTTTTTTTATTCTGCTTGCTCATATTATGTGCAATGTATAATTATTATTACTTAATATTCAATAGTTAAAACCCAGACACATCAATTTAAGTATTTAACATTGTTCATTGATAGCAAATATTGTGTTTAATTCTTTGGTTATCTCAATGAATTATCAATACAATTTGAAAATAACTTATATTTTTCATATAAATTATCAATTTAAGGGACATAATAGAATATTATATTATATTTATTTATATGAAGCCATTTTTACTTTGTGAAAAATAGTTTAGTTCTAATAGTTTTATCATTAATCGTCATACTCACATTGATATCAACAGTTGTAAATACAATTTTTATGGTAAAAATATAATGCATAAAAGTATAGCATTAAAATTTTAATATATTAGGTGTTTAGGTATTGAAATTAAAGGTAAACGCTTATTAAAAATTGTTCCAAGACATATATGAACAAATTTAATAGCTTCATATAAATGCTGTAATAAAGTAGAAACCAAGGTTATATAAGATATTATTTCATTAATCATACATTTCAAAGGAATCAAAAATCACATTTTTTAAATATATCATCAGATAGCATTATATTATAATAAGTTTTGGTAATAACATGCTGATTGTATCCTAATATAATGATCACAAAAATTAAAAAAATTAAATAAAAATACTATTAAAAAATGATTTTCTTAACATCTTGATCAAACATGAACTTCAACATGAAAAGCTCGTTAAATTACAGTATATATAATGTAGTCAAATTATGAGTATTATAAATGTCCAATGAGGCCTTTGTTGAAATAGTAAACTTAATTATAGTATTTTCTTTGTTCTTTTGCAATAATAAAATTATCCCCAAAGGTCTCTTTCACTAAGTATTAGTCCTGTATTTTAAACAATTTAACTAAAAAAATTATCATTAAAAAAAAAATAATAATAATAATAATAATAATAATAAATAATAATAATAAAATTGAAACAACTACAATCATAATGAATATTTAATATAAGGCGTGTATAAAAAATAAGACTTAAGAAATAAATACTTGAATAGTGAGTATAGTTTTGGCACGGATGTCCTACTTATAATCCCTGTAAGTCATCTGCACCTTCTGATCAGGTCAAACATATATTTTATTTTTATAAATATATTTAAAAAAAAACAATTGTCAATAAAATATACATAATATGGTACTTCTGATCACAGGGCAGAGTGGAAATCAAAATCTTCTAACAAAATAAGTAAAAATAATTTGAACAGGAATTATAACATAGTATTATATTGACCAATTGTATTTTTAATTTAAAAAAATGATATACATTTTAAATAGAAATAATTAAAGTATTGCATTTCGTTGATTTTATACTATAATTTAAGTAAAAAGAAAAAGAAAATAAAGTAGTTAAACCAGTTAACCGTTCAAAAGATATGATCAATAATATTGTTTATTGATGTTAAGAGGATGCCATAACTGCATGCATAATCTGCCTTACTATGCATAACATTGCAATTTTTATATTCTAAATAATTCATTGAATTCTATTGTTTAATTTATGAATGAATTAACCAATTACCAAATTTAGAAGTAAGAATATTATCCTAGTGAATCACATAGGTTTTTTTAAATGTTTTAATTTTAAATAAGTAATGAAGATTAATAAGTGAACAGTTGACAACATTATAACCACTTGAATATTAAAAAAAAAAAAAAAAAAAAAAAAAAAAACTATGTTGTTCATAAGATAATATTTTTACTTCTAAATTTGGTAATAAGTCAATTTACTCTAAAATTAAACTTAACAGTTCAGAGGTTGTCAGCACCTCCTTAGTTTTCTCTCTGACCCACACACAACATAAGCAAAATCATTCGTTTTATTATGGTTTTCAGTGATCTTATGAGTAAAATCACCTATTTTAATGTATGATGTATCGATTTGTTTAAATGTTGTTTCTAAACAATTAAATATCCATTTAAATTACAACATTTATTTTTAACGTTTCATATTAAGTCAAATAACAATAAAACTTTAAAACTGATGTCATAGGTACCATATATCATTTTTATAATGTAAATACATTTCATCTACATTGCGCATAGGTCTGATGATACAGTTTCCAAGCATGACTAGTTGCTGTGCGATCAGCCAAATTATATACTGCTTGGGGACCAACATAATTGTAAGGCAGCAGCAACTAAAATGTTGTTCCATAGCAAAGCAGTTGTTTCAGCTCATTGCTGCTGCCAGCCACAACTAGCTGTACCTTGAAAACCATACCTTATAGAGAGAAAACAAATATTATGCTAAAATCCTCTTGAGGACGCTACACCCGCATGTACTGCTCCATTTTAAAAATATACGATTAGTAAAAACTGAGATGGTACTCATAAAAAAAATGATCACTCCATAAAAACATTGGCTGTGAAAAATAGTTTTTATTTTTTTCGATATCAGAACTAAAAAGTTATTCAAGTTTGAAGAACACACAAAATTAATGGATTTTGAAATGATAATATTTTTTTTCGTATGAGTGATGATATCAAGAAAATTAAAAAGAATATTTCAAAGCTAATGTTCTCAACTATATCGATGAGAGTCTTAACTATTACTAGAACCTGAGAGTTCAATCCTTTCCACAACAGTTTCTTCTACATTGTATATTTGTAAGACAAAGACAACACATGTGGATGTAGTGTTCTCATAAACAAATTATTTAGAACTTCAATTTGCTGTGGTAAGCACTTGTAGGATGGAAAAAACGCATATGAGTATAGTATCCTCTTAAAGTGGACGCTACACAGACATTTTTCTTTGTCTCGCAAGAACAAATTTAGTAAATTCACTCTCAACAGATCACTTTTAGCTTTGATAGTTAAAACTAGAGTAAATCAATTTATTACAAGACTTGATGGAAAATTATTTGTGTTGAATATGGTATTTTTTTTTATAATTCAGGTTTTATGTCAGTTATTAGCATTTTTAATTTACATTATATTACATATGCAAAACTTAACTATCATAAAAAAACCCACATACAAACAAACAAAGATATTAATGTTCTTGATATTAAGTTTCATAATATGTTGATATACATTAATTTGTAAGCTATTGAAGCTTAACGTGATCTGTGGAGAGTTAACTTGGTACATAACACATTTGTGAAACAGAGACAATAAATACCCGTGTAGCATTGTCTTAAACAATAAAATCACATACCTATTGACTAAGAAAATAATAATAAATTGTAGTAAAGCCTATGCACAAATCAATAGCTCCTATGAATACTGGAAGCACGATTTTGAGAAAAATAATTGGGGCAGGAAAATATTTTAGATAATCGAATAACACTAAAAATATATATTTTTTAAATTTTTATTAATAATAAGACGATAAAAATAGTAATATTAAAATCGGATCTCWAAACAAGATGTCAGCTTGTTAAAGGGGTCCTCTGTATAGTGTTCTTTCTTTGAACATAAATTTCTATTGATCGGGGGATTCCAAAAGTTATTATGTTTTTTTTTTGTTTATCATTCAAATAAATATATTCAATACATGCTTTTAACTGAACAATATTATAAATTATGAAAACACACTTTCCTGAGCCTAAAGTGTGTTAACATTAATTAAAATACGACGAGGACACTCTTGTTCGGTCCTTTTTTAATTTAAATAAAAAAATTCCATTTGTTTCACTTATATTCAAAAGAGGTAACAGTGCTTGCGTTTCCTTCTTGGTTTCGCTTTACGTTTTTCTCGCAACCTTTGTTCTTTCTATAAGATTAATAAATAATTATAATACTAATCCATATGCACTTTTAAATGACTACTTACATCTTTTCTAATTTCTCTAACCAAAGTGTAAAACGCTTCATCGACACCTTGTCTCGTTTTAGCTGATGTCTCAATAAATGGTACACCATATTGTTTAGCTAAATCAGATGCTGCTTTAACATCTATCGCTCTACTTTGTAAATCACACTTATTGCCTACCACTGAAAATTAAAGTAAATTGAAGGGAGGTAATTAATAAATTCATATTTCAAACAATTTATCATTTATCAGAATCTAAACATCTGAATAGATAATACTTTGAGCGTATTCAAAATTTAAATATTGTGATAAATAAACATGATTCCAAAGGTATTGATAATTTTTATCATAATAAGAGTTTAAATAATGATGACTTGACACTTACAAACCATTGGGACATCCTCTGCATCTTTTACTCGTTTTATCTGTTCTCTATAATTACTGATATCTTCAAATGATTTGGTATTATTAATAGCAAATACAAGAAGAAAACCTTCACCGGTTCTCATATATTGATCACGCATAGCACTATAAAAATATATATATTATTAACTTCATGTACTCATAAATTGCATAAAATAAAAACTTACCTATATTCTTCTTGACCCGCCGTGTCTAAAATATCAAGTAGACACGTTTCTCCATCAATTACTACTTGTTTACGATAAGAATCCTCTGAAAATAAACAGTAAAATCATTAATAAAAATTCTGTTTGAATAAAGTATATAAAATGCATTATCTAAAAAATGATCAACAAACAAAAAGGTAATTACCTACTTAAGTTTCCCTAAATAAAATAAAAACTAATATAAAACTAACCAATCGTTGGATCATACTCGTCCACAAAGCTGAAAAAAAAATATACTCATAAGTTAACTTTAAACTAATATAATTGTAAGATATTTAAACTATGGTTATTAAAGAAATTAAAACATACTGGTTCTGTATTAACTGTATTGTTAAGGCACTTTTACCGACGCCGCCAGCTGGAAAACAGAATGTCAAGTAATGCATTAAGAATAATTTATAACATAAAATAGTAATTTAGATACAGATACTTAAGGCATAGGTAATAGTAATAATTATTCAATTTAATATTTTTTTGAAATGTACAAATTGTTTGTAATTACACAGAAAGCTGTATACATAGGTCATGGAACTGAATAATATATATTATGTTTAGTTATATACCTATTCATAAATAGAGATTATAAATTATTTGACATATACAAATATTCAATATTCTGATACTTTTAAATGGTTATCAAAAGTAATAAATCTAGCCAATGACTACAACCAAATTTATTTTGTGAAATTGATAAGATAAAAGAATGTATTAAGTATTGCAAGAAAAAAACTTAAAACCTAAAAGAGAATCAAGGATAAAAATGTTTTTCAAATTTTGTTCTCAAAAATGTTAAGAGATAAGACACAGGAATTGATCAACAKATCTACAAACTCTAAGAGGCTCATAGAAGATTAGTGTGGATGAAATAGGTACACTTGGGTAATGTATGAGTGAATTCTATCGAGTGTGCTGGTCAAATCGCACAGGGAAATTTTTGATTTATAGATACCGGAGTGGAGGAAAGCTCCAATTGAAATCAGCATAAGTAAAACACATAATACCACAGGCTAATAGACATTAACAGCATTTGTCAAGGGTCAGCAAAACGCCAACTGATGGCCATCCACACAGAACTAGTCGTGCAATTTCGATGGAAGCCGGGTACATTGGTCCGTAAAAGATACCTACACTCTTTCAGGGCTTTTGGCGATTGACGTAAGCTGAGGATGTGCTCACATACAATCACTATACGTCCGTGGGTAGTGCAACAACTACTTACCACCGACGACGACCAGTTTGTATTCAGTCATAATTTTATTTTATTTGTCTTCGTCGTTGTCGTCTGATCAGTCAACAGCAGAGCTAGACAAAGGGCGCTCTTGTGCGGCGTTGTGGTCGGTGGTCACTGGTCCCGAGCGATGCTACACCGGTCGGCGGCGGTAGCGTTCGGTTTGACGACAGCGTCGACTTGTACCGCGGAAACAACGACAACAATCACGGGTAACGACAATATCGCGGAAAAAAATACGTAAAACACACCCCGACCGTAATGAGTACCGATTAGCGAAGAGTGAAGATGGAAAAAAAGGTGTTTTGGTTTTTTTCCTTCTTTCTTTTCTTTTTTTTTTATTATTATTCTCTAAAAGGGGCGTGACATTTATTTATTTATTTTTTGTTTACAGCACAGCCATCTTTTGTACGGCGCACGCAGCCTGTCCAACTGTCCGCTATGTACGTTCCTCAGCGCGCGMGTCGCAGTCCCAATCGTCGTCGTCGTCGGCCGTCTACCGTCGTAACTCGTTATCCGTATTTCGTGGTCTTCGTCATTGATAACGTAATGATATATCTGAATATCTGATGACTGATATCAAAAAATTTAAAATACCGTTGTCGTGCAAGTGTGCAACAACTGTGGTCTGTGAGTCTGCGACGGGTGTCAGTTTGGCAAGTACCAGTTTGTATCCGGCATCCGCGATCCGCCAGCCGATTGGATACAGACATACAGCTATTTCAACTAATTCGTTTTGATGTTTGTTTTATTACCAATTCGGACTGACATAATCACTTATCTTGTGAAAAACCGAAAACATCGAATTGGGGAAAAAAAATTCATTCGACTAGACAGTGACAATACGAAAACTTATTCAACTGCAACCTATCCTATGCCGCAAACCCACAAACAGTTTCTAGTTTTTACTTAGTACCCGAAATGTTGACGACGACGTGATATCGACATGTTGTGGTTGGTGGCAAGTGTCAACGTTGTTACTTTATATAGTTGTATTTATTATAACTGTATAATTATTAATTATTACCTATAGTTTGTAATGTTTATTTATCCTACTATCAATATAAATATAATATTATTATATTTATACTCTAGTCTATAATAAGTATTAAGTAGTAGGTACTAAGTATTTAGTAATTAAAGTTCAATAAGTTATTTGTGGAGTACGGTGATGTGCGTGAGATGAAATCTGTGAGAAACGTTTGATTCGTGTATTCGTGCCCGATTGCCGTTTGCTATTTTCCGTTCGTGTCACACTGGCACACAGGTAACGATAACGAACTAACGACTGGTTAGCTGCTGGTCCCATCAAATGATAACACACCAATATCACAGAATAGATAACAATAACGCACATTCCTTCTCTACCCAGTAACAATGACCACGATTTAAGATATACAATATGTAGCCACATGTAGGGAAAATTKTTATTATTATCTAAGGAAATTAGTTTTATTTTAAATTATTATATAAGATTATGTCTTTTACTTATTGTTATACATAAAATAAAGTATTMAASTCCAAGTTCAAGTATAATAATAGAATAAATAGTATAAAATCAGAAGCTGAACCAAATGACAAAAAAAGCGAGGCAAAATTTCGAAATAGATAATAATATAATAATAACATAGGCGTTTTGCTTATTTTGACACCGGGAGCGCTAATGCTCTATTTTTGACAGCTGTTTTATAGTGTCATTTTTAAAGTCGCTGCGGGACGCTATTAAACCATAGATAATCTTATTATCTATGTATTAAACATAGGTAGTTGTGCAACCTGTAATCTTAAATCGTGACAATGACTCAATCTCGCAATGATAAATTGTTAACGTTTTGTCCAAAGTGGATTTATATATATAACTTATTTATATATGATTTATATAATAAATCTACCTTGGTTTTGTCATTGACTACAACTTACTATTTATTACTCTATGCATTATGCTGGGCTGATTGTTGATCTATAGAACAATGTTTACAATTCTGCAAAATGGGATCAATTTATTCAAATTTTTAACTTACGTTGTTACAGTGTTGCTCAAAGCATTATTGTTAAAAACTTGTCCCTTATACTTCTCTCAGTCTCTCAACCATTTGCGTAGTTGTTCTAGATGTGGCACATGGCTAATTGGATGTGGCTCGGGCCGCTAGGGGTTCTATTTTGAAGTTAAAAAAGTTTCTCCCTACTCCATGTTATCTCCTTCGATCTCCCCTTAATATCTTACTGAAAAACTTGGTATTTGAGTTTAAAACTGCTAATCAATGTTAAATCTTATACTGACCTAAAGTTCCTCAAGGTAGCGACTTTGCATTTTTTTTTAAATTTAATTTTTGCTTACTATACCGTCTATACCCCAAAATTGCATTTTACATCCATTGGTATGTTGGCCGATGATCAAATAATCTTAGCTTCTAATAAAGACCCAAAAAATGTCTCCAAATATATCCAAAACCCCATGGTAATGTTGATCCAACCGTTAGAATTTTGGAAGATACAAATCAACAAAAGCGGGTAAGTGGGTATCGCTCTGCTGTATATTAAGGGGTGGGGTGGACCTCTGACTAGGGTAGGTTAAATTCGAATGCAATGATAGGTATTATTGTATACGAAAAACGATTCTGAACGTTTTTAAAAAATATTTTAGTAACCTTGTATTTAATTTTAAAATCTTAGATTTAAAAAGAAAAACTTTTATGAATTTCTATCTAAGATAATTTGAACATTGTCGTAATTTTTATGTATGAAGTCAATATTTGAACTTCAAATGCTAATAAAAAAAAATATTTAAAATCGTTTGAGGATAAATCGTTATCGTTACGCTATTTTGTAAAAATTTAAAATTCAAACGCACCTAAAATTTTTCGTATAATGATGCTTCGAGTATGCTCTATAGCTACTTGAAGGAAAACTTATGGAAACATAGTGTTGTATTTTTTTAATCCTTWGTTATAAACACAAAAAATTTTATGATTTTTCAACTTCAAAATTACTTGCTGCAAAACTGGTTTAGCATAAAAATTCCCGTTTTTCTGTTATTTTTTTTTTTTKTTTTTCTCGATTTTTTTTAAAACTGTTGGAAAATGTTTACGTTTGACCTGTATAATGCACCAAGGATATTCACTTTTACATCGAAAACCACCCCCAAAGTTTGAAATTGAAGCATTATTTCGAATAGTTATGCTGTACATAGACACACAAAAAAAAAACCACGCATCATTGTAAAATCAATACATTCATCACTTCGTTCAGAATCTAAAACCAAGTCATAATTTATAAATTTCTCTTTACGCCTAGAAATAGGTATAGCTATGTCACCCATTTAAACTAAATATAGTAACACAATTCCTACCGATTACGAAGTAATTTTTAACAAGTATCTGACCATAGTCTCCTCAACTAAAATCTAAACGAAAGTCACATAATTCTAGACTCAATAATTGCTTCGTCTTCTTACAAATTACCAAAATACCAACCACCTAAAAACTCACTATCTTTAAAGGTTTATAATAAGAACCGTGTTTAGGTATAAGAAATCTTTTATCCAAGTAGGTTTATCCTAAACCATGAATATATTAGAACGCTTCAGACATTTCAGTCCATTTTTCTTTAAACAATTGTCTCCATTCCGTGGATAGATRTAACAAAATTTAATACCTAATCTCAATAACAATCTCAATTTCCAAGCAGCATGACAGTTAGCAACGAGTCACTATACCTCAACTTCACTAAAGAACTTAAAACCATCTAAATCCTTTTATTGAACTTCTTTTCTCTCAAATCATCCACTAGGTATAAAATCTTTACATAGGTATKGCTAAAAAATGTTGGAGTAGGGACTAATATATATATATATATATATTATTACTCTAGTCCTGTCAAATTAACATATCGATGGTATTACTGTATGCATAATTACCAATCTTTTCTTTTACTATAATTATTTAATTATTTTTTAAAAATTTATAATTTAGCATATATGTATTTATAAATATTTTAATTACGCAACAAAAAATACACATCACTTATGGCCATAGTGCATTGTAATAAAAATATATTCAACAAATTTGTTATACTGAACCGGTGTGAAAATAAAAACAGGATTTTAAAATCATGTCATTTATATAATGGTTCATTATTCCGGTAGGTACGGGATAATGTAGGATAATCTTAAGCTAGTTTACCCTATAGAATTTCTAGATTAGGTTCACAAAATATAATGATTATATTAAAAAATTTGTCATCTATCAATTTTAGTCTTTTTTTTTGTTATTAAAAAAGGACTTGTAAACAACAGATAAGTCATAAGTATATTACGTAGGTATAGATAATAGGTATATTACTATTTAAAACCTTTGTATATATTTCATATTGATACCTTATTGTACATTATACTGAAGGTAAGTACACAGTCTATACTGTTTCTCAATTCAAAATCGTTTTTATCCACATGCAATGATTGATAATTAAATGTCAAATTAAACACATCAACAGTGATCTCTTCGACGACAAGGACACTTGACAACTACTATATACAGCCGAGTAGTGAGTAATAGTAGTGTTACTGCGCATATAGATAGAGCGTTTCCTGCGTTGTTCTAGTGCACCGAGCTGTACAATTAATTATATTTATAAATACCTACCTCGCATACAATATTACAATTTACAATCTACGGCTATATAAATTTAAATTCATGTTTCCATGTATGATGCATTAATACGCATACTAATTTATTATTATAAATTGTAATAACTACTAGCTAGAGTGATTCACCAATTACCCATACTTGCACCAATTTTTTCTTAATTAATTATTCAAATCCTGATATTATACCGTGTGTTCAATTTTAAAGGTAACCAGGAAATATTTCGATCGCGTGACTCTGAATTTGATACGGAGTTTTTATACTGCAAATAGGACTTATAAATACATCTGTTTTTGATAAATTCTAAATTTAATTTTTTTTATCAGCGCATGCGCAGTAAAATAAAAAAAATCTTAAATAGGAAGCACTATTTTGAAGACCGGATTTCGATCGCTTTATTTTTTCTGAACAACTTTGATCTTTACAGTTTGTTGATATCTCTAAAATTGTCATTTTTATGACGGTCGAAAGTTTTAAATCAGCACAATACCTATACTTTATAAACTTTAAGACCTTATTTTATAATTCTTGGAATTATTTAAAGAGTGTCCTGTATTGATATGAACGCACGTTTTCAAATAAGACCCCCTAGTTAACTGTAAATTATTCAACAGATAATTTTTCTGAACATTTTGATGTATTAAAATACGTAGGTATTAAAATCAAAATTCGAATGAGTAGTTTTTGAGTTATTTAACTTCCTATATCTCAGGTAAACCTACGTCATTTCAATAGATATTTGTTAGGGTATGGTGTAATAATATGACTATAAAACTTTTAAGTGC